TTTTGCAGATCTGAAGTTATTATATAAATCAGTAGTAGGTAGTGTATTAGGTTGAGAAACTTGAACATCTAAAAATAATATTAGTTAATTTATTTAATTTTTATTATATATCAATTTAAATTTTTTTTTTACTAGATAATGGTTCAGGATTTTCTAATACTGCCATTAAATTGTTTAATGTAAACTTCTGGACACCATCCTTTGGCTGTTCATAACGAGCAATGCCTGCTAAAGATCAGTGTCTTGTAATAGTTGAAACTTTATAATCAAAAGTACCTAAATTTTTTAATCATTGCACAAGAGTTTTACGGCCTGCTTGATTAGTAATCTTGTGATCTTTGCAATTAATTCCAGTTTTTTCAGTCAATATTCACATAAATGCATTTATTTTATATTCTCCAAGTCATTTTTTTTGATACCAAACATTAACATTTGAATAATCTAAAAAAAAAAATAATGTATATAAATAAAATACTGTATATTGTTCAATAAATTAAATTAAATAAATTATTAAAGTACTAAGTACTAATTTTGTACTGATAGAATGCAAATAAAATTCAGAATCAGCATTAACAGGTCTTTTTGAAAAATACTTTTCATAATCTTCAATAATTACAGAATTATCAGCAGGAATAGAAATTTTATCTACTGATCCAAGATTATTTAATCTATGTTGATTGGTTTTAGACTTATAAAGATATATATCAAAGTCTCCATCTTTTTATTTTTGAAAGCTTTTCAACATTAATGTATAATACTCACCACCCCTTAAAGCTAAAAAAATTGCATTGTATAAAAAGACCTGATACAATAATCCCTCAGAAGTATCTTTAGATATTGCTTAATGTTGTAGCATAAATTGAATTTCTTCAAATGATAGTGAATCTGACTCATGTGTTTCACTATATCCTTTTTCAGTTAGATCTTTAGTTTTTCTATCCAATATCTCCCAAAGATCAGGAAATGCTTGATGATCTCACAAATTAACAGGTTTTATTTTGCTAGTACTTGAATTATAAAACCTGTTAATTGCATGAATAGTAGCTAAAAGTGAATTAACTGAATATGGTAATCCATCTGCTTTTTTAGCAATGGCAAAGAATTCACATAATTGAACTTCAAGTTCTCGAATATCATTTATATCTTCTGGTGCATCTTCAGAACCAACATCAGAACAATATTGTTAAAATTTGTCTATCTAGTTTTTTGTTAATTTATGAGTATTTAAGACTTTAGATTTGTTGCGCAAGTACAATAATTGTTTATTAGTAAGTTTCTAATAAGTTTTAGTTTTTTTATCTTTAGGCATTATAAAGTTATTCGAATTTAAAAAAGAAAAATTTGGACAAAAAATTAACTGAATAAAAAATTTATTTATACTACTAATTACATTTTGCTTATGACATAAGCTATGAATATAAGAAACTAGTATAGTCATTAATAACTATTTCATAATAATATCGTTATTGCGAGTAATAAAAAATATTTATGTGTTAAATAGTAGCAGGTGATTGGCTTAGATCATGCTGCTTCACAGCAGAATCTGCACCAATCACCTGCTACCATTCAATACCCACATGTATATTTTTTATAACTTGCACAATAACTATAAATTATTATCTCTTTTGATATTAATTTTATATAAAAAGATATTTAATTTCATACAAAATAATATTTAATTTTGTACAAAGTAATATACAATTTCATACAAAATAATATTTAAATTTGTACAAAGTAATATTTAAATCTGTACAAAATAACAATTAAAATAAGTTTAATTTAATTGCAATATCTTGTAATATAGTGGTTTAATTAGTGCTTGGCACAATTAAACAAAAATTTGACAGTCATTAATACTTATGTTTAAATCAGATGTCAAGCAATTGCAGATTAACCAAAGCTAAATATATACTATTGGTTAATTTGCAATAATTTGATGTCTGACTTAATCACAAGTATTAACAAGTATTTGACTATCAAATTTTTAGTTGATTGTGCCAAGCACTAGGTTTAATATAGAAGATTTTGGTACTATTCAATTCTTCTTGATAAAATGATTTAAAAAATACCAAAATCTTCTATATTGGACCATTGTATTATAAAATATTGCAATTTAGTCAATCTTATTTTAATTGTTATTTTATACAGATTTGAATATTACTTTGTACAAATTTAAATGATATTTTGTATAAAATTAAATATTACTTTGTACAAAATTAAATATTATTTTGTATAAAATTAAATATCATTTTGTATTAAATTGATGTCAAAAAGAATAAGGTAATTTTATAATCTATGATTTATTATTAAATTTATAAATAAGTTACAATTTTTGTAATAAAAGTACAACTAGCTATATATATAATTTTTGATTGTCTAATTTAAATCTGATTTAAGGTTTTATACTAGCTACTATACTTATAGCTTAACTAGTAGGGTGGGAAACAGGCCAGGCCAGGCCAGGTTTGTTTGAGTCTGACCTGGGCCTGTTTAAACCTAACCCAGGCCCACCTAAATAAAAATCATATTATTGGTCAAGTCAGGTTCAAAACCTGACCTCCCCAGCCCAGCCTGGCCTGATTATTTTTATATTTATATAAATGCATATTTAATTTTAGTACAAACTTATATTTACATCACTAAAATATGTCATCCAATTTGTATTCTTATTTATTTGTTATATATCAGATTAAAATAAACCAAGTATTTGTTTCATATTTTATGCTTCAAGATTATTTTAAATATTTGGCTAATATTAGCTATGTTTAATTTTGACAAAATTGTGTTCTTTCAAAAAAATAGCTCTAGAAAGTCATACTAGACCAGTAGATCCATACTGTATTATTTATACTGACAATTATTTACAAACAAGTTCATTCACTAAAGCTTATTTTATAAACAAAGTATTTGCAATATCATTAGAGTTAGACTAGAATTAAAGTTAGTTTACAACTACTTTCATAATTCCTGGAACACCTGATAAAAATTGACCAATGATTTTTCTATTTTGGCCAATCTGGTTAAGTTATTGATTTTGGGCATGATAGATTCAATAAAATTGATATATTACGTAATTTAAGATCAAGTGACCTATACAAATACTAAATTCTTGATTGTATATAGAAGTATGATACTTTCAAGCAACATCGCTAGAAAATCATTAAAAAAATTTAGAAGGTCTATTTTTTCAAAAAATTGCCAAACACTTAAGTGATAGCATATTTTCTGTAAACCAGGTTCTAAAATACTTTCAAAAATATGGATGCATTGAAAAACTTCTGTCGCTTTCAAAAAAACTATATTCACTAATACAATGTAAAATATCTTAACAGTTATTATTATAGCGATCATAAAATTATCATTATGATACAAAAATATATAGTTTTTATTTTTATTACTATATAGATACTGAAATCAATAACTTAACTGGATTATAATATTTAATATTTGATTTACTAGAATATTTAATATTTAATTTAGTAATTCAATTCTAAACACATTGTGTGAAAAAAAATAAACATCACATAAGAAAAAAAAAATATAAAAAAATCAGGAAAAAAAAACATAAAAAAAATAACTACCAGAACTATGAAACTCAGTCTGCTGCATTTTTCATCTAATTCTAACTATATACTAATATTTTAACTATTTCTGGACTCAAATTTGACTGATAGTTATCAATAATTCTTTTAGCGGTACTAAATATCTAAATATAAAATAAGTTAGCTTATATTTTAAAAATAATAACTAAAAATTTAAAAGCCTATTAACTGCTTCTGATGCTGCTGAGTTATTGAAATTGCAAGGATATCCCTCACTATTAATGAAACAGAGAGATATCTTTGTGCATTTGTATTCCACCAGGCTAAAACATTAAATAGCTCTGTGTAATAATAAGAATAAAGCGGGTTAGCAAAATACTGCTCAAAATCATTTAATTAATTTTTAATACTAGCTCTTTAAGCATCAAGAGAGATATCAGAGTTTTGCATTTCTTTATCCTGAAAAATATCTGAAAAATTTTCTAATATTGTATTATTAGAAAAAACTGTATGCTGCTTATATGTTAAATTGTAAATTATTATTACTCTAAAATAATATATATATGTAGAGATAAAAATTATTAATACATATATGAAGTACACAAGCCAAATAATCATAGTTCTGAATCATGTATAAAATAAGATAATAAAAATATTTTTTTTTCAAGAATCACACATATTAAATACATATAAATGAGTATGATAAAAATAGTTTTTTATATATGTTTGTATGTATGTATATATGTATATATTGTAGCTCTCCCACAAAAAATTTTACTCTCTTTGTGATTTTATTCAATTAGGATGTTAGGGTTTGAGGCTAGAGTTATGTTAAATTAGTGTTAGGTCATATTAGAAAAGAGATTTATTGATTAATATTTTTGTGGAAGATCTACAGGCGTTAGTTTTTTGAGGAAATTTACATGTATTGAATGCATATTAATATGCATAATCTATCTTGGCAAGAATTAGCTATGTGATTACCAAAGTGCAAGTTTTATTTTTTTTATTTTTTTTTTTTTGGTATTAAGGTGAGGCCTTGCTCATATCTTTATTAATTAATTTATATAAGTAGTTATATAGAAACTATATAAAAACTTAATTTGTACAAAGACAAATACATATAAATTATATACAAGAATAAGAGCTTAGACTAAAAGCTCAAACTAAAAGCTTTAACTAATTATCTGTGATCTAAACCTACTAAAGTGGCCAAGACTCACCTAGTTTTGAAAACTTTATACAAATCTAGGTGAGCCCTGGATATGTATAAAGTTTTATAGTAATACTATAAGATACGTAAGATGTAGATTAATTGTAGAGTAAATTGGTATAGAAAAACTTATTAGAATGAAAATATGTTAAAGTTGGAATAATTGTAATAGAGTTAAAATAATAAAGGTGTTGTAAATTGGATAGTAGTATAAAAAAGAAAAAAGAAAAGACGAATAAAAAAAACTGTAGTTGTTGTAGTCAGTAATGTCATCACGGCGCACCAGGTCTTACAGACTACTGATGGAATCGAACTCACGGCCCAACAATGACTATGAACATTCTATCCATTATACTACAACTAAGTGTACACAATGAAAATCATTTTTGCACGTTTTTTGAAGATTTGTTTGTTTGATTATAGATTGTCCAATCAATTTGTTGAATTTGTCCATGTGTGTTTGATAATCTGATTGAATATTGTACTACAAATATTGGAGATATTTTAATTGTGTTTTGTAAATTCAATTGTTGAAGCTTAAAATTATGAAAAAGCATAATTATTTGAAAAGTCATTCGAAGTGTAGTTTTACGCGAAGCTTGCCACCAAAAGAAAAGAGTAAAGAAGTATTAGAAGTTTTAAGAAATCAGTCTGTAAAAAAGGAAATAGTTGAAGTTGAAAACAAAGAAGTGATTGAAATTTCTGATGATATGACAGAAGAAGAATCAAGAAAAGAGAAGTATGTTATAGTGATATTAATAATAGAGATATAAGAATAAAGTAAGAATAACTAAAATAATAA